ACGGACCACACTGTGTGTGTCTGTCCTCTGAAGGAGTCCACGGCTGGGCAGTGTCCCCTGTGTGAACGGACCACACTGTGTGTGTCGTCCTCTGACGGAGTCCACGGCTGGGCGGTGTCCCCTGTGTGGACCGACCACACTGTGTGTGTCTGTCCTCTGAGGGAGTCCACGGCTGGGCGGTGTCCCCTGTGTGAACGGACCACACTGTGTGTGTCGTCCTCTGATGGAGTCCACGGCTGGGCAGTGTCCCCTGTGTGGACCGACCACACTGTGTGTGTCTGTCCTCTGAGGTAGTCCACGGCTGGGCGGTGTCCCCTGTGTGAACTGACCACACTGTGTGTGTCGTCCCCTGATGGAGTCCACGGCTGGGCGGTGTCCTCTGTGTGGACGGATCACACTGTGTGTGTCTGTCCTCTGATGGATCATGGCTGAGCGGTGTCCCCAGTGTGGATGACACCCATGCGGGTTGCCTCTGACCCACGCGGGATGGTGCCGTGTGGGCCTCGCACGCGAGTGCTGTGGGGACGCCCACGCGGGTTCTCTCTGACCCACGCGGGTTCTCTCTGACCCACGCGGGTTCTCTCTGACCCACGCGGGATGGTGCCGTGTGAGCCTCGCACGCGAGTGCTGTGGGACGCCTCTTTTCCAGACATCAACTTTGTGCTCGGCAGCTACAAGACGGAGCAGTGCCCGAAGCCGCCACGCCTGTGCCGCCAGGGCTACGCGTGCCCACACTACCACAACAGCCGCGACAGGAGGCGGAGCCCCCGCAGGTTCCAATACAGGTGAACCTGCCCCGGGACGCAGCTCCCCGGTCTCCGAGCCCCGCACGGCCCTCTGCCCCAGCAGCCTCCCCGCTCCGTGACGGCTGCCCTTCCTGTCCTGAACCCCCAGCTCCCGCTCACACACACAGTGGCAGGTGTGAGCTGGGTGTGGCTACTCCTTCCTCTCCTGGCCGGCTGTCACCTGTGACCTGCCCCGTCTTCCCCTTGGCCTCGTCCCCCAGCCGCAGCCACCCCGTCCTCTCTCCCCTCGCCCAGCTTCGGCCCCCACCTCCGCCCCATCTTTTCCCCAGCCCACCCCGTCCTCAGTCTTGAACCCCGCCCTCATTGCTTCCCCCAACCCGCGACCCTGCCCCCTCTCACTCTTTGTGGACTTGGGCCTGGATTCAGACTCACTTTCCATTTGATACAAAGTCAAAATGGGGTTCTCGCTCCCCTGGACAGCTCCTGCCTGTCCCAAGTCCCGAGAGGCGTGTCGTCCCGGGCCATGTGGCCTGAGCACAGTGGAGTGGGGAGCCCTCCTGTGGTGACCTGCCGTGCAGGCTGAGCCCTCCTCACGCCTGCCCCCAGGTCCACACCCTGCCCCAGCGTGAAGCACGGAGACGAGTGGGGAGAGCCCTCGAGGTGCGACAGCGGCGACGGCTGCCAGTTCTGCCACTCACGCACCGAGCAGCAGTTCCACCCCGAGGTGCGCGGGGGGCGTCTCCTGTCTGCCGTTTCTGCTCCCGCTTCAGGCAGCTGGTCCACCCGAGCTTTCAGTTTGTGGCTGGCAGTCACCCGGGCGTGTGAATCTGCCCCGTGAGCCACGGTCGCGTCTAGGGTGTTCGCTTTCCGTTTGAATCGAACTCCGATCGTTTGTGGCTGGTGCCCAGGAAGGCGGTGGCCTTCTGTGTGTTAGTCCTGGATCCTGAAGCCCTGCTGTATTCCCGTACCGCTCCCTGGAGTTTTCCCTGTTGGTTCTTTGACAGTTTTATGTCTTCCTTCCAGTCTCTGTATACTTTTTCTTCTCTCGTCTGATTGTGTGAGCCGGGACTTGGCAGTGTGATGTTGAACAGGGGACATTCTTGTCTTGACATTCCAAGCAAAGCCACTCCCACTGCCATCGAGTTGATTCTGAGTCACAGCGACCCCCACTGGGTTTCCAAGGCTGTCGTCATTGTTTATGTAGGAAGCGGGTTGCCCCATCTTTCTCCTGCAGAGCGGCTGCTGGCTTTGAACCACTGACCTTCTGGTTAGCAGCCAAATGCCTTACCCACTGCGCCACCAGAGCTCCTGAAGCGTGACGTTGGCTGTGGGTCTCCTGCAGCTGCTCTCTGTCGAGGTGAGGCCGGTCCTCTGCAGCCCATTTGCTGCGAGTTTTTATCACGAGTGGTTGTTGCGTCTCGTTGAATGCTTTTTCTGCATCCGTCCCCACGAGGGTCATACGGTGTTCCGTGAAGCCCACTCTGATCACGATGACCCCTGTGTTAGTCAGAGAACCGGTCTCCAGGGGGTTTCTTGGCCATCATCGTCATGGAAACAGGTCAGCAGACCTCTCTCCCGGCATGCCGCTGGGCGGCTTCAAACCACTAACCTTCTGGTTCGTAGTCAAGCGCCGTCTGTGTCACCCAGGGGCTGTTTCCTATGTGCACACCCATGCACACACACGAGTATTGTCACCCTTGAGGAAGATGGTGAGATTGACATTTGTTCAAGCAGTTGTTGAGTCTGGAACATTCTAGGGACATTCTCTGGCAGATATTAAAGTGGGCGCTGAACTCAGAAGGTAGGATGGGAAAGGCATTCCAAATGGCTGTGGTAAGCGAGGTGCACCAGGCAGGGTGACACAGCCGAGAGAAGGTTCTAGAAGTGTGGCTGGGTACCTTGCCCTCAAGGTTGTGATGTCATCTCCGGTTCAGATGAATGTAGGAGTTTGATGGGAGCTCTGGTGGCGTAGTTCCTAAGGCACTTGACCACTAACCAGAAAGCTGGAAGTTCAAACCCACCAGTCACTCCTCGGAAGGAAGGTTGGGCAATCTACTTCCCTAGTGATACTACCTTGGAAACCCAAGGAGGGGTCACTATGACTTGGATTGACTCGATGGCCGTGAGTTTGGAGTTTGATGAATGAAAAAATTTCAGTTTGCTAGTAATTTTATTTTGAACGTTTTATGTGGTTTGGGTGAAAGTTTACAGAGCAGGTTGCTCTTCCAGCCAACAGTTCTCACACGTTTTGTTTCATGACACTGTTACAGTCCCCACACTGTAACAGCCTCCCTCCACTTCCTCCCTGGGTTCCCTGTCTCCACTCACCCTTCTTTCCTACCCCTTCCCACCTTCTGCATTTTGTTTTTGGGGCAGCTGCTGCCCTTTGGGTTTCATCAGTTGACTGTTGTGAGGACCATGCCCCTTTTGGGTGTTTGGCTGAAAGCTGGTCCCTGGGGTGGGTCTAGTTCCAGCTTTGAGGGGTATCCAAGGGCCACCATTTCAAAGGTTCCTCTGTCCCTACCAGACCAGTAAGTCTGGTTTTCCTCATGATTTTGAATTTTGTTCTACGTTTTTCTCCCGCCCTTCAGGACCTTCTCTCGGGATGCAGATCAGAGCGGTCGGCAGTGGTAGCTGGCACCATCTAGTCCCTCTGGTGTCAGGGTCATGGAGGCTGGGGTTCACGTGGTTCAGTCCCGTGGCACCATTGTTTCAAGTCTTGATGTCTTCCCTCTCTTTGCTGTGGACAGGGAGAGACCCATAGTGGTACCTGAGGTGGCAGGGCATACTTCATGTCTTAGAACCCTTCTAGTCAGGGACCCTGTGCTGAGAAACGGGCATACAATGGAATTGAGCGTGGTGGCACTTTCAGTTACAGGTGCTTTAATGCTGCTTGCATAGGTCGGCATAAAAACGTCACCACAAGCCCTGACGGAGGAGCCAGGACGGGGTGGAAGGGTGTCGATTTGGGGTCTGGCTCAAGAGGGCTGAGGCCTCAGAGGGGTGAGGCCCAGCGAGGTCGGGGAGCCGGGGCCCATGAGGCTGGTGTCTGGATCTGGGGCCCTCGGTGGCAGGGGGAGGACGAGTACCAGTCCTGAGTAAAGTACCCTGAGTAAAGTGCCCTGGTGCATCTGGCCACGGGAGAGGTGGCCCACGGGAGAGGTGGCCACGGGAGAGGTGGCCACGGGAGAGGTGGCCCACGGGAGAGGTGGCCCACGGGAGAGGTGGCCACGGGAGAGATGGCACACGGGAGAGGTGACACATGGGAGAGGTGACACATGGGAGAGGTGGCACACGTGTGCCCTGGCGCTGCTTCTCGACCACCTGCTGTCTGTGGGCGCGGGGCAGCTGCAGCCTTCAGGAAGGTCAGGGGGAGCAGCCACTTAGCCTGGGGTTTGCTGCTGCTCCGGAAGTCTGCCCTGTCCCCACGGCTCTGGGGTCCGTGCGCAGAGGCGGGACTTCCGGGTGCACGGGGCAGAGGCGCGCAGCAGCGCCCCCTTCAGGAGGCCCCGGGGCAGCCTGGAGCCCGGATGCGCGCCTCATGGCCGCGCGCACCGCTTGCCGAGCTGGGCCCGGCCGCACCTCCACGCCCTGTTTTTGCGTTTCCAGATCTACAAGTCATCAAAATGCAACGACATGCGCCAAACCGGCTCCTGCCCGCGGGGCCCCTTCTGCGCCTTCGCACACGTGGAAAGTAAGTGTGCGGCACTGCCTACCAAGCAGGCTGCCTGAGGACTGGGGAGCAGGTGGGGGCTCCACGTGCAGCAGGGGAGGCGGCGGCACCCCGATACGAGTGCTGAGGGGTGGGGGCGAGGTCTGTGTGTCAGGCCGGGTGCCCAGAGCCCTGTATCCCTGCCCCGGGCCTGGTTTTGATGACCAAGTGGGCTACCACAAAGTTTACAGAGGGGGATCTGTGCCCCCACCATGGCACGGAGCCCCACGCCTCCCTGTCCCTCCACGGGTGTCCTCATCGCCCCCCCCCATGTAAAAGGCTTTGCCCTTCAATTGTTGTGAGTATTGTTGCAGATGCATTTTTTAAAATAATTTCGTATTTTTTGTTGTCGGATCTACACATAGCAAAATCCTAAAGCAGTTCCATTGTTTCTACCATGATTATTCTTGGAGTCATGCGGCCTTTCTCATGTACCTTTTCCAAATTGCTGCAGGAACTCACTGCCCCCAGGTTCCTGTCCAGCCTTGGAGTTGCCATCCTCAGTTTGGTCCCATGCAGGCCTTCCTGAAAAGACCCTGCTGCCCAGGGCACACGTCTCAGTTGGTGAAGCCCAACTGTCAGCAGAGTCCGCGTGCCCGGGAGGGTGGTGGTTCCTGTTCAAACGAAGGATGCGTTTTTTTAGCGTCAGTCAAGGGTTGCTTGGCGCAGTGTGGCCCTGTATCCCAGCTGTTCTCGTTTCTTACTGCTCAGAAAAGTCCCCAAGGCCGACATGCCTGTGCTGTACTGCCTGGGGGGGGGGGGTGGTCCCTCCACTCAGCCTGCTGCCCGCCCCCCGTTTCTTGGCAGAGAGCATTGGAATCTCAAACGACTGGGGCTGCCGGGACCCCAGTGCCGCCAACAGCCCTGTGGCCAGCAGCGGCCCGCCGGGAAGTGTAAGTGCACAGCGCCCTGCGGAGGAGGCTGGTGCTCGGCCACCTGCATCGTTCAGGTTTCCCTGACCGTTCAGGAGCACAGACGGGCGGTGCTGTGGGAGGGAGGCACCTGCCTGGTGGACGAGGTGGATCTTTCTAGAAAGTTCTAGAAGAGTCCTCGCCATGTTCTCTCCTGGGCCGGCTAACTCAGGCTTGCCTTTGGCTGGACTCACACGTCTGTGTGGCTGTGACTTGGAGGCTTGCCCCTCAGGACCTTACCGGCAGGCCCCAGGCACCAGGCAGTGCTAAGACAGGGTGCAGGGTGGGAATGGCTTCCTGCACTGCCACAATATAACATTTCTTGTTGCAGGCAAAGCGGAGAGATTCGCCCGCTGAAGGCATCCAGAAAGCCAGCGAGCGCGGCAGCAAGCAGGTACAGCCCGCGGTCGGGGCCCCACGGCCTTTGTCCCCAGAACAGTGCAGTCGGGGCCCCACGGCCCGTGCCACTGGGCAACACTGCGGCCGGGGCCACACAGCCTTCGCCAGAGGGCAACACTGCTTCCTTCCAGTCCTCACTGTTCCACACGCAGCCGCTGCAGCCGGGGCCTCTCACGAGGTGGCCTGCTTAGGGCCGTTTGGAATAGAATCTTGTTTTCGCTGTTTCTTGCAATATTCTGTCCCATGTGCCCTTTTTTTTTTTAATTCTGATTTGGGTGAAGTTGTCAGAGCACATAGGTATTCCATTCAGTGATTCACACACATTTGGTTTCGTGACATTCATTGCAGTCCCCACAGTGGAACAGCCCTCCTCCCGCTTCCTCCGTGTGGCTACCGTGTCCCTCTGTCCTTCTGAGCTTTCCCCATGGGCACATGCCGCCCTTTGGATCTCATCTGGTTGGTTGATCTAAGGCATGGGCCTCCCTTGCAGGCCTGCCTGTCATTTGGTTGACAGTTGACCCCTGGGGGTGAATTCAGTTCCAGGCTTGAAGGGTGACTTGGGGCCATGGTCTCAGGGGTCCCACCAGTCTCTCTCAGAGCAGTCAGCCTGGTCCATTAGTCCTTTGCACTCAGTGTTTCCATGGTCTTTGATTTTCCTCACTCTTCTTTGCTCTGGACGGGCAGAGACCAGTGGTTGCAATCCCACAATTTTGTAGACACAGCAAAGAGACGGATGCAGGGACTGTTGAATTTGGACAGATTTGCGGCAGGACGCCGCTCACACCTTCGGGCAGTGTCATCCCGCTGGCTTTGCCGTGCCTGCGGTCGCCTTTCTATCCCTTGAACCAAAGCGTGTTTGCAGTTGGCTCAGGCACGTTGTCACCGTTCCAACCAGAAATTGGCACAGCTGGGACCATGCTGGGTCACAGCCAGATGTCTCAATGCAGCTGATTTCTTAACGATCCCCACACGGCTCTCAGTGGCTCAGTGGGATGCATTTTGTCAACACCAACAGCACGCAGGCCCCGAGCTCTGGCCTTTCCTGAAGACACAGCTTTGGATCCCCCACCCCCACAGCACCCAGGACAGCACAGTCAGCTTGTGACGTCCCTGCAGTCATGTTTTCGCTACAGTCTCTGTGTCCTGGGACATCAGCGGTCGACACGGTCCGTGCTGGTCAGATTCCCACGGGGAGGCGTCGGGGGTCACGCTGTGCTCCCCTTGAGCCAGCGGTCAGCTCATCCAAGACCCAGCTGTGCAAGGGCTTCCCGCTGCGTGGCAGCTTGCGTCTCAGACTTCCCTGTGGCCCTTGGGTCGAGCCCACAGCACTTGCAGATCAGATGACCAGCGTTGGTGGCTTCCAGCAGGGACAAGGTCTGTCTGGGTCTTTTCCTTGCCCATTTTGGCTTAGGTTCTGGATGGTGTCCCCAACACCTGGGTTCTGGCGGCAAACCCATGTGAGAAAGCCCTCTGCCGACTCGAAGCCACCCAGCAGCCCCTTGTTCTGTATGGAGGACAGCCTCCTGGTCTGTGCCCGGGCTCCTCGTTAAGTGCACTGGAATTCCCATTCTTCACAATGTTCTCCTTTACTTGTTATGATCCACACAGTCGAAGGCCTGTGCGTAGTCGCTAAAACACAGGTGGACATCTTTCTGGGAGTCTCTGATGTAAAGCTCCCCTAAGGACTCAAGAAACCCTGGTGTTTCTTAGCCATGAGCATCCCGTTTCTGGAGTCACCGAGGGCCTCTGTCTGGGAGGCAGGGAGCGTGTCATTCACTTTTCCGTCCTGACTGGGCGAGACCACATGCTTTCCCTCCTCGCTTCCTCGTTGTCATGACACGTGACGACTTGTCCTCACAGCTGCAGTGGGGCTTTCTTCTTCCGTTATTCTCTGTTACAGGCTTCGGAGACGCTCGTACAGTCCCCAGAAGGATGGTGTTATTCTGTGATGAGTTCTTACGTCAGTGAAAGGGAGGATTTGAAACAAGACGCCAACCCCTGGGCGCTGGCTGTACAGCACCTGGCTGGGGCTGTGGAGGCGTGGCCCAGGGCAGGAGTGGGCGGGGCCTCAGTCCTCTGCTAAACCAACGGACCACGTTCCGTTCGTGCCTCATCTGCTGACGGACACTTGCATGGTTCCACTTTTTGGCCGTTGTCTGCATCTGCTTTTAAAATCTCATCTTCTGCAGAAAATTCCTGATCTGGGACACATCCGGCCACATCTGTCCAGAAACCCGTCCTCCTTTGTGTTGGGCCCCAGGCGTGGCTCTGGGGGTCTGGTCCCCGTGCCCCTGGACGGTGTGAAGTCACTTGCACACCGCCCCACGCAGGGACCCTGCTCACCGTCCCGTCCCTGTTTTGAACAGAACCACCTGACCGTGCTTGCCGTTGTCCGCCCCCTCGCCTCCAGCGCCAGCTCCCACACGGGCTCCGGGAGCTCCTCCCCCACGACGCTGTCTGCCCTGGATGCCCGCGCCCTCCTGCTCGACCCCACAAGCAACACGGTTGAGTCTGTCCTCGGTGAGTGCCCCGCTCCGCTCCTTTTCCCCTCGGCCTCCTACGGCGTCTGCGGGCCCCTGTTCTCGGTTGGAGCTGCAGTCCGTGTGCTTGACCTCTGTTGAGCTGTTTGCTCATGATGGACTGCACGTCTGGGGGAAAGCCACGGGTCACCGGCATCTCCCTGTTGGGTTGTGCCACATGCCGTCACAGAAAAAGAGGCCCGTGACACAGGTCCCCATGAGCGGTCGGTGCCATCAGACCAGAGGCTGTAGGAAGTGGAGGCGTATCAGAAATAAAATGGAGTCGTAGGGGCCAGAGGGTGCCTGGCGGTGGGGGCAGTGGCCTGGGGGTGGCGGGGAGGAGCTCGGAGGACAGCTGTGGGGTGGCCTTCAGTAGTGCGGTCACTGGGGGTTTGGGGCTTCGTGGTAACATGCTTGGAGCTGGGCTTGGGGGAGACCCGCCATGGCCTGGATGGGGAGACTGGATGCCATGGACACAAGAGGGGACGCTCCAGGGAAATTCTGAGGCGAGCAGGCCAGGGCGGAGCTGGGCAGGTGGGTGGAGCCAGGGCATCGCAGCAGGAGCTCAGTAGGATGCCCTGAGGCCTGCACCCGGCAAGGACGGGAGCTATGGTGACCCAGCCTGTGTCTTTCTTGACCGAGAAAGAGCACTGGAATGTCCTCATTTTTGGGGTGACCTCCAGCTTTGGCTCCGGGCTGGTGAGGGAGGCCGCACTGGGTGAGGGGCATGTGTTCTCAGCCCAGATCTTGGCACGGGGCAAAGTGGGCGGGCTGTGCACACCAGGTACCCAGCCCATGCCCAGGGCGATGTCTCCTGGCTGGAGATAAGGCTGTTTGTAACAGCCAGACAGATGCATGCCAGTGGTCACCATCTTGCACACTGCTGACAGACATCTGTCACGGGGCCATCTTCACCCCTCGCCCCCGTGGGCTCTGCAGCCAGCCAGGGTGATGGGAGAGGGCATCATGTCAGCTGCCCTTTAGCTGACAGTCAGGGCACATCAGAGCCCGTCTCACTCCACACCTGGTGATGGTGTTGCAGGAACCTTCTGGAGCTGTGAGCAGTTCCTGGAGGCTCTGGGACAGCCCAGCCGTCAGCAGACAGCAGCTGGCCAGGGCGGCCCTTCCAGAACAGGCTTCCGTGTATGTGTGACACTTTGGTGGCTTTTAGTATGGCCAAGCCTTTCCGACTCCATTTCCATTTGGGCTGAGATTAGTGTTGGTCGCTGTTCTTCAAAGGGTCCCTTTGAAGAACGCCGGGGACCTGTGCGTGTCTCGAGCAGCCCTGGGGTTGACACCTTCTCTGAAAGCTGGGCACTCTTGACATCACGGCTTGTCCCCTGACCTCAGGAGGAGGTGCACAGGGCGTCCTCGCCCAGCCCGTCTCACGCCGCTGTTGGGAAATGGCACAGTGGTGGTCGTTAGGCCAGATGGACAGTGCACCCACAGTGCGAGCTGCTGGTCCGTGCTGGACAACAGGAGTGCTTCCAGAGAGACAGGTGACCTCCCTGACCTGCAACAGGGCTTACTGGCTCCCTGTCTGTGAACATGCCCTCCACAGAGTCCTGGGAGTGGGGCCGTTCCCACTGCCTGTGTCAGGGCGGGCATCTGGCCTGTTCTCTCTGGAAATCACATCTTCCCGTGGGACTCCCACGTGAGAGAGGACACTGCAGATACTGACATGCTTCAGGGCTTCATCTTACAGGCAGTTTCCCACCATTCTGCCCATTTTGTGGGTGGTGTTACTTTTTTGTACATTTATTTTTTTAAGCAAAAGTGCACCCAGTATAATTTTACTTCAAGTTGCATTTCGGTGGAGAACGTTCCCCTAGAACCACAGGGCTCTCACGAATGGAACATGTTTTGATAGGAAATGGCCCCGTACGTCCGCCTTCAAACTCCAGGCTCTGGGTCTTGCCACGCTGATGACACAAATGCATGGGTTCCCATCTGCAAAAAGGTCATGGGGCAGCCTTCTCTGATGTCCTCCAGCCCCATGAGGGGAAGACGGAGTCACCATCAGCAGTCCAGTGAGACCAGACCTGCCACCACCTTCCAGCCTTTTACCAACTGACACCAGACCCTCCCACAGCACTCACTGCTTCTCTGCTGGGGTGCACGACACTTACAGACAATACTTACGATTAAGGGGCTCATTAGGGAAGTAACAGGCTACATTTCAGCCTCAGGAACCTGCTCAGGACAGTCTCCCCTCTGTTGTGCCCTCCCACGTGTCTCTCTGGCCCGTGGCCTCGGCCTCTGCCCTGCTCCGGCAAGTGTTACACACCTTTTAGCTCTGCCCATAGGTCCACCTTGGTGCACCCCACTGCGCCAGCCAGCCTCCCGCCCAGAGGCACTCAGCTTTCTCCGTAGGCCAGAAGGCCCACTGCCGCCAGTCATGCCGGGGCAGTCTCAAAGACCATAGCTAGACGAGCCATACCACATCACCGAAATGCAGGCGCGGAGCTGCAGGCGAGGAGAGGGAGTGGCCTGGGCTGGATAGACTGACCCTGGACGTGACCCGCAAGGACCGGGCGGTGCCTTGTCTCTGGCCCGTCTGGGTATGGCGAGTGGAATGCGTCCTTATTGAGCGTAGGCCTGAGGCATGGCCAGCCTAGCTGCCAGCTCTGACCTGGCCAGAGCGCCGCGCCACCTGTCGGTCAAAGTCTCTGTAACTTAAAACAGGGCGCCCTCCCGAACGCGAGAGCGGGTCTGCCGCAAGGGGCGGGCGCGGGGCGGGGCGGGGCCAGGACATGCTGCGGGGCACCAGGGGCGGGGCATGGGGATCCCGCATACTGGGAGTTGGTTGGAGTCTGACGACGCACAAGGCCGGGGCGGGGCAGCGGCTGGGGAAACGCGTGATGTCACGTGGGCGTGGCCGGGGCATGCGAGGGTACGTCAGGCGGGTCGGGGCGGGGTCAGGCAGGCGGCGCATGCGTTACGGGGGGCGGGGCCGGGCGGTTTTGAATCGGCGGCGGCGGCGGCGGACGGTGAGTCAGCATCGCGCGGGGCCGCTCGCTGGGCGGCTGTAGGTGCGCCGCGGGCAGGTGGGCCCGGGATGCTGCCCCTCCGGACTGTGCTCCAGCGCAACGAGGTGGTTCTGGTCCTTTGGGAACTTGCTGAGCCCTTTTAAGACCCCATTCCTTGTTCTGTCAGTGCTTGCGCTAACTCGGAGGCTGCCCTCAACCCCGCACCCTCGCTTGTCACCTGTCCCCCAGGACCCGTTGGTGGGTGGGCCTCGCGCCCTCACGAGGACTGGGTGTAGCGGAGATCCCCCGCAATGGGGGCCGAGTCTGAGGAAGCGGCTCTTCCGGGTCTGGCCTTGACTCCGTGCAGGTCTCTGCCCTTGTGTCCTGAGCCCAGGGGCGGGAACGGCTGTCACTCGGGAGCAGCCAGGGCCATTACTCAGCAGCTCCGGGCTCCCTTTTCACGACCGCCGGGCGGCCCGCTGCTTACGTAACCGCTCACCTGGTTTTCCGGTCCACCTGGAAGGGAAGGGGGCCTTGGGGAGCGTGAGGGCTGCAGGGAGGGCAGCGCTCAGACGGAAGGCGTCCTCGCTGTGGGACCCCGCCTGGGGTCCGGCCCAGCGCTGCCTCTCCCGGTCTGGAACGAGGTTCCCTTTGCAGGCACCTGTACTCCAGGTGACCTGCAGGGGCTGGGGCAGTCCCCGAGTCCATGTCGGGGCGCGGTGGGCATTTTCCGGGGGTTTGAGCTGATGGGCCCCACGGCCGGTCGGGGCTTGAGGTGCGTGGCCCAGTCCCCTAGGGGGCTCCGGGTTGTTTCGGGAGCAGGTCTGACGGGGGCCGGGCGAGGGCGGAGCACTCGGTGCTGAGTCACGGTGAGAGCAGGCTCCCGTGCCGGGTGTCCCTTTCTTTCCTGCCTCGTCCTTGGTTCACCAGTGTTTGTGACTGCCACCGAGCACGAGAGCCTCCGGCAGCTGTTGGCACCTGACTCGCGACGCCAACCATGGGGCAGCCTGGGCCGAGCCGTAGGGTGGGCCCGTGTCGGTGAGCTCCGTCCAGGCCCGCAGGAGCAGGACGGGTGCTGTTGAGTGGGTATAACCTCGCCGGAAGGGGGGTGCTGGGGTGGGGATGGGGTGGGCATCGCAGAACACCGGGTCTGGGGCATCAGCCTGCAAGGACAGGGACAGAGCATGGGGAAGCTGCACCTGTTTTCCTTGGGCTCAGTCTTTATCGAGAGCCATGTGGTGCTGGCCTCTTGACCAGAGCAGTTTTGAAATGGCACCTGGGAGTGACAGAGCGTCCAGGGAACTGCCTGACGCCTGGGCGGTCAGCCACTGGCTGGCAGAGGTGGCAGGCTCCGGAGGCTGGTGTGTGTGCCCAAGCAGGCAGGTGTGACCCAGGTCCCCTGTGACACTTGGAGAGGGCTGTTTCCTGGGCCAGACAGGTGTCCTGTCCTGGCTTAGCATCCTCTGGGACTCATACGGCAGGAAGGGGTCAGAGGGCCTGGGGGTGTGGGGCTGTTACAGGCACGTACATCAGACACCTGCTGGGGGTCATCGGACTTGCTGCCCAGGGGAGGGATAGTGTTGACAACCAGAGAGGGGTGTCAATCAAGAGCCCACCACCATCTCCTCAGGAAGCTGAGCAGGGACTCGGAGGGTAGGGGGAGGCGGCCAGCACACTGCCCCCCCAATGAGGCTGCACCCCTCTGATGGTTCCCCCATGGCAGTGGGTCGAGAGGAGCCCCTGGGCGCTGATATCTGTGCTGGGTCCTGGGCTGGTGGAGGGGCCTAGTGACAATGAGAGTGAGGATAGGTGCTGGGCTGGGCACGGGCTGGGGACTCCAGGAGGGAGCCCCAGGATGGAGGATGAGGCCGGGTGGGAGGGGTGCTCCCCGCTGGGCCTGCAGGAGAGAGTGTGCGGTAGGCTGCAGAGGCAGGGGGCTCCCAAAGCTCCTACGTAAGCAACAGGTCCCCGCCCGGAGCAGGGTGGGGTTACTTGGCCTTGGGATGACAGCAGATACCCTGGGAGCAGGGGGTTGAGAAGGCCGCTGTGTGGCCCCGCTTCGAGCCGGGGCTGGGAGAGAGCAAGTTGCAGGCACAGTGAGCTGAGAGAAGAGGGGGTCCTGGGGGAACTCGGGCACAGTCTGGTCGGCTGTCATGGTTTGTGACCCTCTGAGGCCCTTCTAGGCCAATGGCTTTTTCTGAGAACTGACCTTTTCACAGTCCCGTGTACTCAGTGGCCAAGTGTTAACGGGTTGTGACAAAGCCAGCATTAGGGCGCGAGAAGAGCCGGCTGGAGGGCACCTGGGCGAGATGCGTGTGTCTGGGGACAAGGATGGAGCGAAGCCCATCCACTCGAGGGCCTGTCAGTGTGGCCCTGGGTCCCTGGGGGGGTGTTGGAAGGAGTTCTGTCCCAGGCGTCCAGCAGCCCTGAGCCGCCCTCAGTGTTTGGCTGGAGCACCCAGCGTGGGGTCTTCAGGCGACCATGGCTGAGGGCCGGGCCGCTCGGCTGGCACGAGGTGACATGCGTCTCGTTTGACAGGCTCAGCTTTAGACCTCCATCTTAGTGACATAAATATCGCGTCTCTAGAGAAGGACCTAGAAGAGCCGGAGAACGGTGAACCCGCGCTAACGAGTAAGATGCCGGACACGTGACCAGGGTGCCCATTCCTTGGGGCGACAGGGAGGGTCTCTAGGCCCCCCGCCCCGTATTCGCAGCCTCTGCCCTGTGCAGCCAGCGTCCCATGCCCTCCCAGGCTCATTGGCGGCTGCAGAATCTGCCAAGGCGGCCAGGCCATGCCTTCTGCCCCCACAAGAAAAACACCAGCTCCCTCCAAGTTCATTTCCCCCTGGGATTTTCAAAGAGCTGAAGTCACTGCCAGGGCCCCTGCCTGGACACAGCGAGTCTGAGGAGGGGCGAGGTGTGCGCGTCTGCCTGGCCTCCAGCCCCACCTCTCCCTGATGTGCACCCCGTCCCTGCAGGTCAGCAGCTGCTGGGGGGCTCGGCGCCGGTCGCCATCCCGGGCCCCCTGACCCGCTCGCCGTCCCTGCACTCGTCCTCGTCCCTGTCGACCTCCCCGCTCAGCTCGCTCTCCCAGTCCCTGTCAGGACCACTGGTCTCTTCAGCCATGACGCCCCCCCAGCAGCCCCCACCACCCCCAAAGTCGGAGCCTGGGGGCCTGGGCCCCTCGGCCGCCTCCTACAGCTCCTTAGGTGAGTCGGGCGGGCGGGCAGCCATGGGTGGGGACAGGGCTTTGGGAGGCGCCGGTCGGGACCCCAAGGTGCAGCGGGGCCAGGTGTGGCGCTCCGAAGTGTGTGCCCTGCAGCAGCCCTGGAGGAACTGTGGGCTGTGGAGGGTGTTTGTGTTGCAAACCTGCACTGTTGCCCGTGTGGCCCTGCCTTGCACAGCAGCTCCGAGAGGGCCATGTGGGATCCAGGCCCTGTTCCCCTTAACAGTGACTTTCCTGAAAACGGCAGCCCTTCACGTTCTTTGTTGTTTTAAACGGTTTTTCCCCAACGTCTCAGTTTTAATTTCCAATGTCATTATAGGTAGGTAATGCCTGTGTGAGCCAGGAATGCTCTTTGAGGTCCTCAGGGTTCAGGGGGCCCTGAGGCCACAGCTGAAGAACTGTGTGTGATTCGGCCCCCAAAACGAACCTGGTTTCCTTTTTTTTAAAGCAGTTAGTTTGGAGAGGGGGGCTTGGTGAGAACAGTTGGCGTCAGTACCTCCTGGGGGGGGCGAGGTGAGCCCAAGAGGGCGCCAGGGTGGGGCCTACAACGGCCGCCCCGTGCCATCTGCCTCCGTCACCCCCGCAGGCTTAAACGGCGTCCCCGGGAGCATCTGGGACTTCGTGTCCGGTGGCTTCTCCCCCAGCCCCTCCCCCATCCTGGCCGCCGGGCCTGCCCCCTCCTCCAGCGGGAGCCCGAGTGGTGCAGAGCTGGCGCGCGTCCGGCGGCAGCTCGACGAGGCCAAGCGCAGGATCCGGCAGTGGGAGGAGTCCTGGCAGCAGGTGAAGCAGGTGAGGGGCGCGGCGGGCTGGGGTGACGGGTATGGAGGCGGGTGTGCCGATGCTGCCCCGGCCGCGCCGCCATGCGTCCCCACCACGCTTGCATTGCCAGCCCCGCCCCACCATGCGCCTCCGCCCCCATAGCATACAGCTGTGTTCTCACTGCCGTGGCCCCTCCTCCGGCCCCGCCCACCAGTGCCCCCGCCCTCTACCGCAGATACAGTGCTGTCCAGACTCCGCCCACCACCTCCCCTACCACATGTACAGCACTGTCTTCTCTGCCCTGGCCCTGCCTGGGGCACGCCCAGCACTGCCGGGGGGCCCTGCCACGGTGCGCAGCCCCCAGCCCAGGCTCCCCTGCTTCCAGGCTTGTGACGCTTGGCAGCGTGAAGCCCAGGAGGCTAAGGAGCGCGCGCGGGCGGCGGACAGCGACCGGCAGCTGGCGCTGCAGCGGAAGGAGGAGGTGGAGGCGCGCTGCCGGCAGCTGCAGGAGGAGCTGGAAGGCCTGGGGCTGGCGGCGGCGCTGCCTGTGCTGCAGAGCTGCGGTGACCTGGACTCGGCGCCCCTGCCCACGCTGCACTGCCTGCAAAGCAGGCTGCGCTTGGGCCTGGAGGCTGTGGATGGGGTGAGTCCGTGGCTGTCCGGCGCTGGGGCTCCTTTCCCCGCCGCTCTGCACGCCCCGCCCCGCATCCCGGGGGGGAGTGTCACTGCCGTTCATGCCAAGGGCGCCTCCCAGCCACGGCTGATGTGGGGCACAGCGTTGACTCTGCTTGCCTGTCCTGTTCTTTGCATTTCGGAGTGAACCCCAAATCTGCCCCAGGCAGGTCACTGCCCCTTCCTCCGGCTTCTCACCAGGCTGTGCTTCCTGGGAAAGCTGTCCAGGTGCCCTGCCCATCACCCCACCCCCTGGCTGAGCTCAGTGTCCTGTCAGCCCCCTAACCTCCCCCAGCCAAGCCTGCACATGCCCCCAGATGTGGTCTTCCCCCGTGACTGGGAGCCCGGCAGTCTCTCGGGTTGGGATCACAGTGCGTAGGCAGCACCCTCCCGGCCAACAGTGTCTCACCCTGCAGGTCATCGTCCAGCTGCAGGCAAAGCAGTGTGTGGCGTGCCGGGAGCGGGCCCGCGGCGCTGCCCCTCGGCCCTGCCCGCACCGCGTCCTCTGTGAGCCCTGTGCTGCCAATGCGCCCGCCTGCCCCTACTGTAAGAGCCAGCCCGTGCAGTGGTGACCGGAGCCCGCAGGGCGGGGCGGGCCGGGCACCTCCCGGAGCCAGACGGACGCCGATGGAGGCTGTGAGTGCGTCGACCCGACCCCCCCGTGTGCGACGTCTGTCGGTGGTTTCATGGGGTTCCCCCCTCACCTCTAGACGCTCGTGCAGATGGGCTTAGCGTCTGGGGTCTGGTGTGCCAGCCCTCAGCTGCTGAGCTCAGGGTGAGCACCGCAGTGCCACCAGGGTTTGCAGTCTGACACTACTGTTGGCCAGATGGAAGGCAGGGCAGGTGACATGGTGCCAGCAGGTTTGCCATTGTTGGGCACTACTGTTGGCTAGATTATTAAGCTAGGAGTGTGACTCTCAGAAAAGCACTTTGTAAACCCAAGAGTTTAGTTAGATGTTGTTAAAAACTGCTACAAGCTGCTTTTCAGGTTTATGTTTTATTATTTTTTAATATGCGACAATATGAAGCTTTATACGTGTACTGTGAACTTAAAACGTTTCCTATCGTTTACCGTTCCTTCACAGTAGGGCAACTGGTAGATTTCTTTTCTGAAGTCAGTACTTACCCCGTGAGCGTTATCTAGTAGTTTTCAGATGAAGTGCAAGTGGACAGTGTTCATTGCAGAGGCTGGTTACTGGAAACGTGTATGTTTAGCCGTGTGTGGGATTGTACAGAAGGACTCATTCTCCAGACTCTGCTGTGCCTGCTGGCGTTTCTGTAGCCAGCACGCGAGGCCACAGTGAGTTGTGGCCACTGGCTCCTGGTGCCTTGCAGAAGTGAATAGCGGTCCCTGGCTGTGTTTTCTCTCTGAGAGAAGGCTGTCCGAGCACAGCTGACTTGTGAGAAGCTGCTGTGTGTGGCCACAACCATGGCGCTCCGTGACTGTGTGGAGGGCCACACTGCCTGGCCCCGTGGCCGGCAGAGGCTGCAGCCTGTGTGATGATGGGTCTGCAGGCAGGGCATCGTTCCTGGGTGGCTTAGTTCCAGCTGCCACTGGCCCCCTGGCTGTCGTGGATCACAGCTCATGTGTGTGGTCAGCAAAGTGCCCACCCCCCACCCTGTGGGACAATGCCTGAAACCAACCATGGCTGAGCGCAGGTCCAGTGAGAATGGCTGGAGGTTTCTTGGATCAGGATTGGGACCTTTTCCTTGGGAATCGGGATGAGGTGAGAGATAACTGGTTCACTCAGCCTTCCCTCAGAACCTGCGGCCCTGCCCGCCTCTGGCTTTGCCAAAGACGTCTCATAGCATTTTTAACGTGCAGAGTGACTAGCTAAGATTTTTATCAGTGACCAAATTAGAATGTACTTTCTAATGCAGACCGCGTCTACAGCAGAGGCCCAAGCCTCCTGCGCCCACGCCCTGGGCACCCCTGGGTTCCTAGCGAATCCACTTTGTTTCTACAATAGTGATGACAACTTAGCTCAGTGCTTACAAATGCTGACTCCCCGCTACCGTGGTCAGTTTTCAATCCCTGCTTTTATTCACGATGACGCACCAGTTCCCGCTTCGGCCTGTGGTCTTTTCTGGGTAACAGAATGTTTCCTGTCTCTAGTTAGACGTTTTCAATTTACAGAGCAAAGAAGCGTTAGATCTGCGCATAAGCTACTCTGGTCAGTTCTGTGGAACGCAGCTTGCGCTCAGAGGGCGGACCCCGGGGCCTCAGCACTCGCCTTTGGTTAGGACCTCAGCTCTGAGGACTTGGGGGCGAGGGACACGAGGACGGCCCAGGGGGGCACTCCGGACCCCATCGGAGGGCTGCTTGTCCTGGGTCACCCTCGCCCCAAGTCCTGGTTTGTGACGAGCAAGGAGAGGAAGGCGCTGGAAGCTGCCCTGGTGGGCGCCCCTGCAGGCTTCTGAAGCCTGTCGGGTGTGGAGTGTGGGTAGGGGTCCTCCGGTGCTCACCGACACTCGGTACGCGTTAAAGCCTGGAGGCCCCAATGTGTGGGTCATAGCGTGTGGATGGACTGGCCGCACCCCAGTTTCCTCACAGCGAGCTGTTAATGCCTGGTTTTGACACTATGGGAGTGATGTGACGGTTTACAGACCCCTGGGCTGTTTTTATCCGCAGGGGATTCATTAAAACCTTGAATCTTTGTTCCGTCTGTGTCACTCAGGCCGGCAAACGGGGCACTGCTTCCGGGCTGTCCTGCCGGCTCTGAGGCTCCTTGGCTGGATCACAGGGTGTTCCCAAGCCGTGCAGGGTCACCGTGCAGCTGTGCTGTGGGCTTGTGCGTGAGGGCCACTTGGCCCAAGTGCTTGGGGCTGGAGGTCCCTGCGGAAACCCCAGCCACTGGTCATTGAGCCACCCGGGCAACAGCTGACAGGAGGACGCCCCCCCCACTCACCTGCCCACTCACCTGCATCCTTGGCAGGGCTGATGCCCTGCTGGCTTAGCAACGTCTGCAGCCTCCTCACCTCCTTGGCCAGCTCCTTGTGCGCCTGAGACAGGCCGTGTGTGGGAACTCGGGCGCCTGCAGGCAGCCAGCATGTCCCTGTGTACCCCGCCGTGGTCTTTACTCACCTGACTGCAGCTCTCCAGCGTCTCAAACTTCCGGCCCTGCGAGAGCCCTTCCTGCCAGGTTGGGTCGCTGTCCTCTGGGGCCCTCAGGTAGCCAGCCTCCTCAAAGAGTGCCCGCAGCCGCTTGGCATGGCCCTGGAGATAGAGGAGTGGGTGGCAGCGCCCAGCTCCGGGCTGAGGTGCCCTGCGCAGGGACGCCTGCCGGTGCTCACCTGGGGGGTGATGAGCTCGTCCACCAGGTCCTGCTCCACCTCGTCCCACCTCTGCTGCAGGGCCTTGGGTAGCACTGGGTATACTGCGTGGCCAAGGGGACAGGTATGTGTGGCTTGGCTGGGGTTGCTCCTGCCCCTGTCCCCAGCAGATGCCTCCCAACCCCATGTCCCACCTAGCATGGCGTGGGGGTGACAGACGAGTGGTGTCTCAAACATCAGTGAGTACACACAGGTGCTGGGCTCCGACACCTGGGCCAGGCGGTGGTTCTTCCCGCACGTGAGCGCCACCTGGAGGGTGGTGGAGGCTGGGGTCAGCTGGGGTCCTGGGCCCTGAGCCCACCCCCAGAGACCTCACCTTAGTCTGCCGGCTCCTGGAGCCACAGGAGTCCCCGTCGCGCATCCACATGCCCGCGAAGGTGTAGTTGGCGATCTCCCACTCGTGCCAGATGCTGGGGGGCGGGGGCAGTTGAGGTTGAGGGCTGCCCCTATCCCCAGCTTACCCCAGGATCCTGCTGTAGGCGATGTGGGAGCCTGAACCCCCGCTCACCCCAGGATCCCACTGTAGGCATTCCAGCGGAAGGTCTGCTCATGCTGGGTTACGTTGTGGAAGGGGCAGAACTCGTACTTGTACCTGGAATGACATGGTGCCGTCAAGGGGGCCCCAGCCCTGGGGCTGGCCCATGCCCCCCGCTCCAGCCTGCACTCACGTGGACTCCACCAGGCTGAAGCATGTGCCGGACAGTCTCAGCAGGTGCTCAGGCCCTGTGGAGGGGGGCACCACGAGGGTGACGGGGACGCCCAAGCGCGGTGAGGCTGGGCGCGTGCCGGGGCCCGAGCAGAGAGGTGAGCACGGCCCCCACAGCCTGCAGCCACGCACGGTGCGAGGCGCAGGGGAGGGGCCGGCCCAGCACCCGCAACACACACGGTGAGAGACGCAGGGGAGAGGCCGGCACACCCACAACACACACGGTGAGGCCCCCACAGCCTGCAGCCACACACGGTGAGAGACACAGGGGAGAGGCCGGCGCACCCACAGCACACACACAGGGGGCTTCCGCAGTGGTTCCCCAGACGCCGCTGTGGGTAGGCTTGTCACTCACAGAGGGGCCCTCATTGGGATGGGGGTGTGCTGCTAGCCTGGTCGACAGTTTTGGAACAGCCACTGTTCTCTATGAAGGCTGAAGTAAAAGTGTCATGTAACTGTCCCCAAACACCCTGTCAGGCAAACAGCAGCTGGAAACTGCAGGGTGAGCCCAGCTGGTTTGCTGCCCACTGCTCCACACCCCTGTCCCTGGGGCCCCATACACCATGGTGTGGGGGCTGAGGAAGTTCTGTGCCTGTCCTGGGGCCCATTCCAGAGCTTGGACAGCATGTCTGTGTGGACGGCCCAGACTCGGCCACCCACTATTTCCTTGTTGATAACACTGGATACCTACACCCAGTGAGTCACCCTGTTAGAAGGCCACAGCCCAGCCCCTGCATGGCCAGGCCACCAGGCATTGGGTTGAGCCCCCAGACCACCACTCCCACCCCTTCCCCTCTTCAGCTTCTGCAGCCACGGTTATATCCTGTTCTACGTACCACGATCCACCCAAGTGCCACCAACGCCGGGCCCTGCCACCATGCAGAGCAAGGCGAGACTCTCCCCAGAAACCCCGTCCCCCACCTCTGCTCCGGTGCCCGTGGCCTGCTCTCACATCACCCAGGGTGGCAGGAGTGCCCCTGCTTCTGTGCCGTGAGCCCTGGCAGGGATCCACTTAGGGACACACTGGAATAGGGCACATGGGTCTACACACTGCAGTGTTGCGTAAAGGACAGCATGAGGTGAGCCCGGTCCCCAGCTGAGGCTCCAACCAACCAAGGTGGGTTTGTCCTTCCCAGGGCTGGGCCTGCTACTCCCCTCATCAGCTCTGCTCACTCCTAGCCCTACACACCTGCTCAGGCCGGGATGGGATCCGAGCCCACCACATACTCAGCCCTCATCCTGGAACCAGACACAGTGCAGATGGCTGACCTGCATACGCGGCTGGCAGGCTCCACGCTACAAGCCGTGTGGCTGGAACTGCCCCTGGATAAGGTCTCCATGCCTCCCACTCACGTGACTGCCACCAGCTCTGTCCCCCGTCCCCACCTTTCCACTGGATGGTCCCCACCCCTTTATCCTGCCTTGCACACTCACCAGGCCTCACTCACCCACTGAGGACCCCTCACCCCCTTGGGGCCACACTGCACTGTGGCTGTCCACCCACTCCACTCTGGCATCTTGAGCAACCAGCACTTGCGCCATCTTCCCCCATCCTTGCCCAGAATTCAGCTCCAAGCCCCACCACTGCCTGTTCTTCCTGGGCCCTCCACACTGAGCCTGAGTAGGGGCAGTGCCAGTGGACCACCTTGACAGCCTGGAGAGGCCAGGACTGCTCCCCACACTGGGCAGAGAGCATGCACACGGAAGACTAAGGAAGGAGCCTAAGCAAAAGTAAACCAACCAGACCAAGTGGGCACACACAGCACCTCCACCAGCACCCACATGGGTGCTCACGGGTCTCGGTAAATACAGAACAACGGAAGCCACAAAGTATGTTCTCCAACCAGCAAACAAAAATCAAGTCCTGTTGCGGTCCAGTAAGTCCCGACACAGGGCAAACCCATGTGTTACAGAGTATAATTGCTCCATGGGTTTTCTGGGCCCTACTGTCCAACCTCTTCTGTGGAGCTACGGGGTGGATCAGTAGGTAAGGACCAACCACTTGCAACACCGAGGGACCTTCTCCAACTGCAACGGAGTGAAATTGGATATTAATAACAACTGGAACGTACACACGTACAGAAATCAGATAACACACTATTAGACAATGAGTCGGTGTATAATCAAGACAAAAATCAGAAAATACTTAAGAACCTGAATGGAAACAGTGAACAAGAAGGCAGATGGAGCTGTGGGTTGTCAGTTGTCCTGAGGGTGTGGCCATTTTGAATATTTGCAAGCACTGTTTTGATCTGGACAGCAACCTAAGCATAGACTGCACTTGCCAAGGATAGCACAGGCAGCCACACTGGAGGGTGATTCATGTGGACACTGTTAAGAGGAATAACTTGCATTCCAGAATAGCAAAGGACAAATAAAACCACAGAGAAAGCTGTCTGATGTGTTGGAAGAGAACTTCCCTAATACGGCAAAAGACGAGAAGATGTCCATTGAATAAGTTCAATGAACCTCGAACAGGACAGACCCCCAAAAGAAAATCACCAAGAGAAAATCACCAAGACACAGCCCAGACTTCTCAGCAGAAACCGCACAATGGGATGGTATGTATAAAACCCTGAAAGAAAAAAATTGCCAACCAAGAATTACATGATGCTGATATTAGAACATTTCCAGAAAAACAGAAATTAACGGAATTTGTTAAAACCAGAACAACCTTACAAGACATGTTAAAGGCAGTCCTGCAGACAATAATAGACAACAACTGATCATTTTAACACATATGATGACATAACCCAGAAACCAGTCCATTTATAGATACTATCCAAAGTAAGATAAACTTACAAGACTGTAAACAGGGAACCAGAGACATCAACT